ATAGCGAATAAGTTCTTAACAGAATTTTTTTTATCTTAACTCAATAAAAATCTTTATGATTCTAATGCAAAGTAACCTATCCTTAATCACATGTTATGTCATCAGAACATCGAGCAAGTTCTTAATAGTAACTCATAATAAAAATTGACTAAAACTTAAATTGCACTATGATTTTTTAGAATATTATAGACATTTCAATTATAATAACCAAAATAATCATCTCAATTAATTGCTTAATTGATTGTTATCACTAGCAAATTACACTAAGAGCTACTTGAGATCGCACTTAATCTGTAAGCAATTATCAATCAAAAAATTCATTTATTAAATATATATATATATTTATTTAATTTGAATATACTGTATTATTCGTCTATCATTTAATTTATTTTTAATAATTTAGATTTTCTCAAGCACCTCAATGGAACAAAGGCAAAATTTTAATTATATACAGATCTCTCTAAATACACTCTATAAGGGCCAAACGTTAAAATGCACTTAGAATAGAGAATAATAATAAAAGTGCGTCTGTGGAAGATATTTTTGGACTGAAATTTGAGTACACATTTGAGAGGATATATTTAGGGTTTGTTGTTCAATCCCTTGAAACATTTATCAGCAGGTTACTTACACGACATTAGTTGCAGTTATATATTTTTAGCAAATTGTCACCCTGCATGATGTTGAGTAAAGAAATAACTTAAGGGGAATCATCATTAACCTATTTATGATTCATTATATTTATTCCTTCAAACAAACTTTTGTTCCCGTGCCTCTGGCACAGGCGATTCGCTAGTCATTATACATTAAGATGTCAAAGTTTATATGCTCGTAGTTTACCAAAAATAAATAATTATATCTATAGCAAATAATCTAGTATATTATGATAAAATTTCTCTAAGGTCATTTAATGATTCTTTTAAAGCTTTTCTAAAAATGACGCTATCAGTTTCTTTGCATTTTTTATTACTACTAATACCGATTTTCAATTTATCTTTTTCAATAATATAAGCAATTGCATATGCGTCAGGAACTATAGTTTCCATTCCAGTATGAAAACCCAATCCAGGGCTCAAATTTGAAGTACGAAGTTTAAAGTGCATTGCTTGAGCATATGAAGGATCAGTAAATAACGTTGCTCTAGATTTTTCTCCATCATGTATTTGGGATTGAAGGCCTAAAAGGTGACAATCTACTCCACGACCTAATAAATAAATATATATAGATAAATCACCAGCAGATCGAATATTTAAAAATGCATCCAAGTACGTACCATTAATAGCAGAAATTATATATTCAGTATGTGATTTAATAGCCTTCATGAGTAGAGAAACTATTTCATCTTTCTATTAATAGAAAAATATAATATTAATTAAGTGCCATATTCATATAATTTAAGGTCAATGAAGTAACAAATCGTACTTCTATATTTGGATCACAAAAAGCTTTGGTAAATGCAGTGGTGTCCACGGAGCAAGTTCTCAGAGTTTCAAGACGACCATGTAGAAAACCTCTAGTAGAAGCAGTTTCATAGGTAGAACATGACTCACCATAACGTTTATAATATGCAAGTTGAATTGCTATCTGAACAAATGCATCAGGGCTAACCTTAGCTATAATTATAAAAGTAGTTATATATACATTTTTCTTTGAAGGAACATATGTAAAATATATCAAAACATATGCATTACCATTTTTTATCCAATTGGACCCATATTCATTATAATACAATAAAACACTATCGATGTTATCAATTGCAGCTTGAATATTAATTTGCGCTTGCTGAATGGTGTTTATTATATAAGTATCGACAAACCATTTCAAGTATTGCGGAGGTGGTAATTCAAGAGGAGAAGTGTTTTGTGGATCTTGTGCTGACTCACTTTCAATTTTAACATAAGGCATTAACAATAGTTATCTAATATATATGCATAGCTTTAAATAATATGTACAGTATTTATGGACTTAAATTTACTCACTTTGAAATAATGTAATTGAATAAACGGCCTACAACTGTACCATCCACAGATGAATGCTATTTGTCAATTCAATAAAATGTAACGAATTATTAGGATGCAAATTTAATTACAGTCATACTTGAATTATATCCCTCTTTATTCCGTAACATTTTTGGCGATATAAAGTAGGATATAACTCAAATATATAAACATATAAAATATATTAAAAAGGAATTTTATCTTGCTTAAATATGGTTATAGGTTAGGTTTAGATATAACCTAGTGAGGGATATAGCCCAGGTATAATTGTATATCACCATACCTCACCATTAACACCAGCACGTCCATTATTTGCAAAAATTAGTTGAATTGTTTTATCAAACCATCGATTTCGACCATTGTATGCATGAATACAATTATGATGAGAAACATCTATATTTGTATCAGTTGGATAGTCATCCAATGCTACACCAAATAAAGCTGTGTCAATTGCTTCAAAGCTGATATTGTTTTCTGCAGATAAAGATTCAAGCCTTTTGCGAGCCTGAAAGATAAACAAATGAATTTAGCAAATGCACCGTCTGTATGATGAGCAGTGTTCGAAATTTTATATTCAAATGCTGTTTCTCACAAGAACAGAGAAATAGATATAGATTTTTTCAAGCTATGGTTTTATGCTCAAAAAAAAAACCCCAAACAACATAGTATATTAGAAAATAGAAAATATATATTATAGTTGTATTTAATATTAAAAATTATATTGTGCGCAAATTTATAATAGTGTTCTCTTAAGAACTCTGAGAACACTAATTTCGAACACTGTTGATGAGGTGAATAATAGACGAATAACTAATGACAAAATACCGTTGCCCATGTATCACGGTGTTCACCGGTCAATAAACCTGTCTAAAGTGCAAAACAGCACCCAGCATAAAATTTAAATGCTGGACAGTATATATATATATATATTAAATAAATAAATAAACCTTTTAATTTCTTTAATAGGAAACCTTTCATTTCCTACACCTAAAACTTGGACTTTGAAAATTTGATCTTTAAAAATCACAATAATATGTTTAGCAGTCTTAGGCCATGTTGTGATAACACGATCAAAGGGGGAATCAGCAATGCGTGCAGTACTAAATAGTTTAGTATATTGATCCATGCATAATAGGCCATGACGTGTCTTATCCTGTGGTAATAATTCACTATTAAATTACAAATAAAATGCGAATGTATTAATTCAGAATTAATAATAAAACTGAATATAAAGTGCTAAATATAACATACTTGTTAATCATATCATTAAACGTCAACATATTTGACACTAATCCAGCAGCTCTATCGATTTGAAATTCGGATGTTTGACCTTTTTTGGGAGGATTTTCTAATATTCCGGTAACAGGATCATTGAACTCGATCCACCAATTAGAGTATATAAGAATAGGTACCCTCAATTCTAAAAAAAATTTATTTAATCGGATAGTTTCAATCCAATTATACTGCAATAGAAATATAGAAGTTTTATTAAATCAATAAAAACTTATATAATAATTGAATATGATCTATTTACCTTTTCACTTTTATCAACATCGTATAATCTTTTTTGAAGAACTTCAGCAAAGCCACCTTCCTTCATAAATTCATCAACGACATTGGCTGCTCGATTATAATCCGAAGTGGATAAAAGAGGCAATAAAGATTTCTTATAGCGTTCTGCTGTTTCTTTCAATGTTGGAATCGAAAGACGGGGGAGGTTAATTTGATTTGAGAAGGTTTTTTGATTGTTGGTTTCCATGTTTCTATAGGAGTTGCAATGGTAAGTTTTTGAAGTAACTATGCTATTTTCTATTTATAGATAAGATTTAAAATCAACGGTAAGTTACATGCAAGTACACACAGTGCGTACGTACGTAAAGATCTAAGATCACAAACTCTATAAGATTATGCACAAAATGGTAACACATAATACGCCACGAATAAAAAATATATATATACTTATTAATAACAACTATTTTTAAGTAGTCTAAGATTAACTAGTTCGGACCGGGTCTTGGACTAGAATTTTAGGGATCTTGTGATCTCAAGGTCTTTTGATTGGCTAATTTAAAAATTATAATTAAAGCACAATGCTCGTTCTCTATTGTTTTATATATTAAACTACTATTTTAGACCAGTTTCAGATTGAGATTATGAACTAGTTCTAACTAGTTCAGGACCAGACTTTTAAAGGACTTAACCAGTGCTGGCTTTTAACATCCATAAAATAAGCCACTGCCGAATTTCAATGCGTTAGTTGATCTTTATAAAGTGATTGATTTTTAGATTTCCTGTACCGTACGTACGTTCATACGTACGTATTTATCAGACGTACGTGCTAGAATTTAATAACAGTGACAAATATTGAACGCAAGTGCATTTTAATATTCTTTATATAACAATAAAATTATGTTTAAATCAACATACTAGAATCCATCAATGTATTATAATTATAAAAATTTTAATTTTTATTCATAAAATCTACGTAGTTTCGCAAGGTCATTTTCAAGGCAAAGACCCAAATGACATATGTCGTTTTAATTATTTAAAAAATTTTATGCTAAAAAAAAATAGGTACTTGAATTGTTAAAAGGAGTTAGAATATTACTATTTTATTAATTGCATAAATTGTTTTAAAAATAGCTGCGCAATTCATGATCGAAATATTGGTTCAAGCCAGAACCTCTTCCGGATACTTGTTATTGGCGAAAAACGAGCATCACCAAATTACCGTATTTATCGGACGTGAGTATTGTATCCAGTGTGATGCATTTTTCACTTAGTAAAAAATTTAAATCATGTGCATTACATCACATGCACTCATATAAATAATATTTTAAAAAATTGATCTACATTATTTGTCACCCGGGTACCACGTACATACGTACGTACGTACGTACGAACGGTATGCCCCTGTCAAAGGAACATTTCAGTATGCTAACGAAGATGTGGATGTGTCTTATGCAGCAATGCAAAAATAGTCATTTAATCGAATATTGCATATAAATGAATATATGATTAAATATTCATGCGTAAATTTATGCTCCTATCATTTCCCCGACTCTTTCACTTCCCCGCCAATGTCATTTCCCAGACGATGATTGTTGGGGAATGAAGTGCCGGGGGAATTGGCTGTCGGGAAATGATAGAGAACCATTTCATCGACAAGTTTTTTTTAAAAATTCCACTAACCTTAACTTTAATTCCAACTTAACCCTAACCACAATGACCAAAATTACTTTGTCTGTGAAATGAGCTTCCGGTGAAGTAAACTGCTGGTGAATTAATTGTCGGTAAAATACAAAGCGGATTTCATTGTTTCAGTATCTTGCAATTCAAGATTCACCCTGTTCTAAAATTTTTATTCTTAATTTATACTGATTGAATATGGCACATATCAATTAATAATTGAAACCGGGTGATTATTACACAAATCTAAATTAGTCTACATTTTTATTTTTTTAAAATTTTAAATATTAAGTATATATTTATTTACAAAAGAAAATTAATATTTTTATATATTTTTATTTATTTGATTTACAATTTTAAAGTAAAAATTTAGTAAATACTTTAATAATTTTAAATTTGTATTATTTAAATAGAATTAAATTTAAACAATTACTTATTGTTTCTTTTAATGAATATAATATCCTTACAAAAAAAATTACTTATTATTTGATTTAGATTTTTTTCTTACTATTTCTTCTTTAAATTTTATTATTTTGTCTATTTTTTTTTTATTTATTCAAGCAAAATTTGAAATTTAAATTACTATAATCAAAATATTATTTTATAACAAACCTATCTACTCAAAAAAATAAAAAAATCAAATTATATAATATTTTATATTTTTTATTTGCACAATTAATTTTTTTTACATATTAAAAATTTTATTTATTTTTTTAAAATTTTGATTCTGAAAAAAAATATAGTTTGTAGACAATAATATATTTAAACTTTAGTATGATGAAATTTTTTATTTTGTTTTAAACCAAATTTGTTTAAACATATTTTAGTTTTTTATTTATATTATTTTTAAATTTATCTAAAAAGCTAATAAAAAATTCTTATTTTATGATTGTTTTAGTCTATTTTCAAGATTTAGCTAAAATTATAAAAAATAGAGATAATTTATACATCTCATATGCGATGTTATCGCATCCTCTGCAGATCATAAAATTAGGTGTAACATGAAATCAAAATAAACCGTTTTTTGTTAGTTAGGGTTAGAGTAAGGTAAAGTTAGTGTTAGGGTTAGGGTTAAAGTAAGAGTTTTTTTATAGTAAAATTTTGTAAGGAATTTTTTTTGTTAGAATGCGAAGGGTAGTTTTATATACAAAGTTTTGAGTTATAGACAATTTTTGATAAAATGAACGTTTGTTTTGAATTTTCTAATTGTGCTATATTATACCTGATCTTAAAATTTGATTGGTCGATCTGTGAGAGACGATAAATTAGTGCCACTGCAGGGTGCGGTGAATAAATATACTCTAAAAAATAATATTAGTAAAAATTTTAATTTAAAGTTTTTAAAGATTTTTTTCTATATTTTTTCTGAAAATTTAAAACTTTCAACTAAGTTTAGAGAAACTTCAATTAATTTTGTTAAAAGAATTAGTATAACTTTAGTTTAAATCTTAGAAATTTATAAATAGACATATACTTATAAAATTTCTGGTGCTAATAGTGAAGCTAGTAAATTTGTGCAAGATAATTGTATAATTTTTTTATACAAATATATCATATTAACAAAGAACTATTTACTGCTTCACAATTAATATTATCTTTAAAATTAATAGATTATGCTGTATATCATTTTTTAAAAATACAAGAAACTTATAGTAAAATTTATAAAATATTTGAAGATTATAAAAGTATTAGTTTTGGTATACAGCTTGAATATTGAATATTATCTAAACAATTTTCTAAAAAATTATTAGAAGAAAATGATTTAGATAATTTTTTAAAACAAACTATTTTCTAAAAAAATCTTTTAACTCAGAATTTGCAAATTATAGAATTTGCTTATATATAATAATGAAATCTATATTTTATAATATGAAACCAATAACTTATTTAATTAATTATTTTGAAACTTTAAATTTTAATAATCCAAATAAAAAATAATATTGTAATTTTTAAAACAATTTAGAATTATAATATAGCTTAATTTTTAATAAACCAAAATTAAATTCAAAATTGCAAAATAAAAATATTTTGAAAAATTTTAAACTAAGTTTTAATTTTCTATATTTAATAATAATATTAAAGAAAAAGAAGAAGAAAATATTATTTGTAAACTAATTTCAAATATTCAATTATTTACCAATTCTAATATAGAAATTGACAGATATAATGCCAATAATAAAGACAATAAGAATAATGAGAATAATGATAATATAGATAATAATAATACCAATAATGATATTAGTTGTGGCTCTAATTATGATATTGATTATTTAACTACTAAAAAATAAACTTATTAATTAATAAAATTTGAAATTTATTTATTAAAGATTACATAACACATACTTAAAAAATATTTTAACTATGACTATAATTATACAGATTTTAAAGAATTAACTAAAGAAAAAATAACAGAATGCTTACAATCTAGAAACTATATATATTTTAAACTTTTATAAAACTAAACTTACTAGATTTGAAATATACTTTTTTATGTATTATAATTTAATTAAAAATAATTAAGGATAGAGTAAATTAAAATATATAAAAAAATACAGTAAAGTTACTTTAAAATTTTAATAAATAGATCAAAACCTTTACTAAGTTTTAAAAACAAATTATTTTAAAAATTTGTATTATAGAAAATTTTATCTTTGTTTAAAATGAATAGAAAATTTTATACTATTAGTAGAGATAATAACAGGGGTAGGATGCAATTAAATTTTTAAAAATATATGAATAGTTTTTAATATATAAATTAAATTAGTTTTTTAGAGATGTAGTGATTTAGTGTAGTAGTCTAATTATCACTCTTTCCAAGTAGCAGATCTAGAGTTCAAATTCTACAGATGATAAAGTTTGAAAAATAGACTTGCATTTTGGTTAATAGTTGTCAATTTTTAGTAGTTGGATCTAGAATCAAATTTGTAATCTTAGTCACACTATCTAGTAATGAAAGCTTAGCTTAATAAATCTCAGGAATTTATAATAACTAAAAACTTATTTGAGAAGTTCTATTAGAAATAGCAGTGATTTTTGATTATACTATATGAGAGCTAAATTTGAACTAGGGCTTGAGAACAGAAAACTGATTAACCAGATTATAATGGCAAAGGAATTACTAGCTGAGCTGTCAGGTTTTGTTGCACTAAAAGAAAAGGATATATATTTTAAAAATATGAACCAAGAAAAGAGCATTTTTTAAACAACTAAAGCCTAAATAGACTAACTTTTTTAGATTACTTGCTAGAAGTAAAAAAGAGATCGATAAAGAATCTAAGTAAGAAAACAGTTAAAATATGAATACTGTGATTTGTTGTAAGTCTATACAAGAGCAGAAGTAGGTAATAAGTCTAATTAAGAAGATTGTAGCTTGAGATGCAGATTGGTTATAGCAGCATCTATAAAGAGGTGGCTTGAGATATGAACTTGATAACAGTAGCACAACAGATATTAGTTAGACACAGAAGTTCAATAGTTAGCCCTGACTCTAAGTGCATGAGTTAAGCTATAGTGGAAAGTTACTAAAGTTTAGATGAATATATAGATAGAATTTGTATGCTAGCAAAATGT